TGAGGAGGAAGAGGGAGGCGAGAGGGGGAGAAAGGCGAAGAGGAGGCGGATGAGGACGGGGGGGATGCACGCGCAGCAGGGGCGCTGTTGGCCACTCGAGGGGCTCTGGTTCTTCCGCAGGCTCTCAGCCAGGTCCAGCGCGCAGAAGGAGCTGATGGCGACCTCGGACGTCTCCTGGCGGGGCCACCGCCACTTCCCCGGCCCGTCCGCCCTCTCTCTCCTCCCCCACCCACCCTCCCGCCCTCTCTCTCCTCCCCCGCCCGCCCTCTGTCTCTCTCTCTTTCTCCTCCCCCGCCCCCCCTCCCCGTCCCCCCTCCCCCCTCCCCGTCCCCCCTCCCCCGTCCCCCTCCCCGTGCCTGCCCACCTCCATCCCCCGCCCCTCCCGCCCTCCCTCTCCGCATCACGAGGGGCAGGCGCGCGATAGGCGCCAGGGGGCGGGGGGGGGGGGGCGGGCAGGCTGCAGGAGGGCGCGCGAGGGGTGCGCGTCGGAGCACGCGGGAGGCCAGGGGGGAGGCGGACAGATAAGGGGGGGGGGGGGGGGCTGGCTGTCGCACGTGGGGGCACGGGGGGTCCACGGGGGGGCGCCAAGAGGGCGCACTGGGGAGAACTGAGGAGCAAGGGGGGGGTCGCGCGGGGTGAGGGGGAGCTCTCTCCCGCCTCTTCTGTCGGACTGAGATCTCGTTTGGGCCTCCTCCCGCCCAATCCCCCCTGCCCCCTTGCCCCTCCATCCCCTGCCCCCTCCCCCGTGCCCCCTCTCTGTCCCCCCTCCCCACTCCCTCCTCCCGCCGTGTGGCGACCAGCGCGCAGGAGGGGGCGCGCGCGATGGAGGATCTAGCCTAGCCATGTGCGGTTCGGAGCGCAGTGACGGGAGTGACAGGCGCCCATGGTGCGACAGCGCGGCAAGCAGCGCAGCCCCGTGGCGAAGGCGGGCCGAGGAGCAGCGGGAGCGGCTGACAGCGCCGCCAGCCCAGACACGCTCGTGGACGCGGACCGCCTTCGGGCGCGAGGCCGGGCGCAGCTGCCGACACTGCCGCTGCCGCCGCGAAAGTGCCGGCCGCGGGCGCGGAGGGTGCCACCCCGCATCGACGGGGGGCGCCGGGAGAAAGTGGCGGGAGGAGTTCGTTGAGAACCTCTGCCCGCTCGGGAAGAAGGTCCTGAAGCGCGCCCTGGACTGCCACGACCAGGCCGTGATCCACCAGAAGATCTTGGAGGACTTGGAGCACGCCCTGAGCTGCCGCGAGGGCCAGGCCAGGCCGTGACGGAGGAGAGGACAAATACCCCGAGCACGTCGACGTTCGCCGCGGAGCCGGAGCCGCAGCCGGTCCGGTTACGGTCTCGGTCAAGCCGCCGACGGCTCCAGCAGCAAGCATGATGGGGGACGCGAAGCAGAGCGAGGTGGAGGCAGCAGGAGACGGCCGCGGCGACAAGCGGGGCGTGGCCTGGCAGCACGATCGGGCGCGCGTCGACCTGCTGAGCTCGTGCTGTGCTCTGCACGCGACGGCCGTCGCGAGGGAGCCAAAGAGCAGGAGGAGCTGCAGGAGGCGCTGGAGGGGCCCGGCCTGGTGGGCATGCGGGCCCTGGAGGTGCAGGTGCAGGAGGAGGAGGTGGAGAGGCCGAGCGCCCCAGCGCAGCAGCTGGAGGCGGTCATCCCTGCCCGGGGGGGGCACGCGCAGAGGCTCGGAGCACGAGCTGAGAGCGCACACCACCGGCCAGCGGGTGCCCACCATCCAGGTCCCGACGGAGGCGATCCACGCAGCGGCGCGCGAGCAGGCAGCTGCGGCGCCAGCTGGCGTCCAGGAGCAGGTCGACAATCCAGCTGAGGGTCAACAGCCAGGAGGTGAGCAGGCAGGCGGAGACCGGGGCGCAGCTCACGGCAAGCGCACTCCGGCGGCTCGACAAAACCGAGGGGGCCTCGGAGTCTGCCGAGGCGCGCCTGCGGCAAGTCGCAGCGGCGCTCGCCAGCGTCCAGGAGCAGATCAACAGCATCGAGCTGAAGGTCAACAGCCAGGAAATGGACGTGCAGGCGGAGACCGGGGCACAGCTCACGGCGGCCGCGCTCCGGCGGATCGGCGAGGCCAAGGGGGCCCTGGAGGCAACCGAGGCGCGACGGCCCGCCGCCCGCCGCGACTGGCAAACCACTGAAGATGGAGCAACGGGGCGTTGCGGCAAGGGGCTGAAACACCCAGTGCAGAGCCATGACGCGGATGAGCGACCAGAAGGAGAATACAGTACCCCGGAGAAGCAGCTGGTCACCGCCGTTGGCTGGCAGGCCAGGAAGGAGGCTCCGGAGAGGCGCTTCATCTCAGAAGAGTTGCAGGCGCTCGCGAATGAGACTCACATCACTGAGAGAGCGGCCCAGACACGCGACGTCTTGATTTTTTCAGGACGGCGTCTCCGGAAATCTCGACCCTTTCCCCGGGACCGGTTTGTCGTCCCGAGTCGTTTTTTTGACGGTCCCGGGACCCTGCGAGGGCCCCCCAGGGCCGAAAACAGCGAAAGGTTAACCTCCGTCCTGATTTTTTTTACGACGCGAGCATGCCTGGGGAGTGATGCCAGCCGGTGCTGGCGGCGCCAGGAAGGGGCAGCACCAGCCTCCGCGGCCTCGGCCGGCTGGCCCCCGGCCCGGCCCGAGGCGAGGGCAGCTGGGCCAGCCTGGCGCGTGCACGCTCTGAGTGGGCAGGGGGGGGCGCGGAGACCCCGCCGCAGGACAGCAGCCCCTCCCTCCTCCCGCCTCATCCCTCCTACCTTTCAGCCACGCCTCCTCCTCTTCTGCCCCTACCTCCTCCATCCCACACCCCCTCCCTTCACCCTCCTCGCCCCTCCCCCCTTTTAGCTCATCCTCGCAGCCTCTCCGCCTCCTCCTCCCCTTCCTCCTCCTCCTTCCCTCCATCCTCCCCATCCCCGCCTCCTTCCCCCCTCCTCCTACTCCTCCTTTCCCTCCTCCTCCTCCTCCTCCTCCTCCTCCTCCTCCCTCCTCCTCCTCCTCCCCCTCCTCCTCTCCTCCTCCTCCTCCCCCTCCTCCTATCCCTCCTCCTCCTCCTCTTTCCTTCCACCGCCCGGCCGCGGCTGGGAGGGCTCCAGCACTCTGCTGGCGAGCCGACGGCGCCCCCGCCCCAGCCCCCCCCCTCCCCACCCCCTCCCCCCTTGGCCCCCCCTCCCTTCCCCTCAGCCTCCCGCCCTCTCTCTCTCTCTTCTCTCTCTCTCTCTCCCCAGACCCCCTCGAGCAATGAAAAAATCATGACGGGATGTTTTTCCTAATTTTCGGCCTCCGGGGGCTCTCACCGCGCCTCGGGAGCGTCAAAAAACGACTCAGGATGCAAAACCGGTCATGGGGAAAGGGTCCAGACCTCTGGGGGTCGACGTAATGAAAAAATCACTACGTCGGGGGTCTGGGTCTCTCTCTCTTCGCTTCCCTCCCCCCCGGTCCTCTGCCTGACTGACTCCTCCCCGTGCTCCTGCTCGCCCTCCTCCCCGTGCCGCTACTCCCCCAGGACCCTCGACAACTCCAGCATATCTCACTGGATCGATCAATGCCGCGGCCGTAGCTGCTTGCAAAATCAGGGCCGTACCCCTGTCCAATACGGCCGGCGCTTGTCACGCGTGACAATCCCACCAGCCCATTGGGCTGGCCCGATGGCCCGAACGTCCGCGTCTACCCGCGGTGATCTAAGTCCGGCCGACTCCCAAAGCCGACTCCAGAAGCCCCAGACCCCCGACGTCGTGACTCTTTCGCAGCGTCGACCCCCAGAGGTCCGGACCCCTTCCCTGGGACCAGTTGTCCATCGTGGGTCGTTTTTGGATGGCCCCTGGGCCTGGGGAGGGCCCCCGGAGGCCGAAAAAAATCCGCCGACCCTGTCGGCGTGTGGACCCCCGTGTCGGCGTGCGCTCAGTCGACGCATCCGTTGTCCTCTTTCCCTGCGTCTCCGTCTTCCCCTTTCCCTGCACCCTCCTCTTCAAGCCTGCCAGCGAGAGAAAACCGTAGCAACGTCGCACTTAAGTCGAAGGGAAGCCCCTTCCCTTTGATCCCTCCCCCGCCGGGGGGGGGGTCCCTGGGGGGGGTCCCCGGGAGAGGGGTCCCGGGGAGGGGAAGGGGTCAGATACGCATCCGCCCCTGGGCGTCCCGGAGCCCCGCCAAGACGCGCCAAGAGGGCCCCAAGCAGGCCCAAGAAGAGGACCACGAACCGACACTTCGAGCTTCCCGCCCCAAGAAGCCCCAGGAAGGCCCCAAGAGTCCCTCAAGGGTCCCGAAGAGGCCCCCAAGAGACCCCCACGAGGCCCAACAGAGGCCCCAACAGGCCCGAAAACATCCGAGAGGCCTTTCAACCACAACCCCAGGACGGCGGCGGGAAGGGCCGCAGGCCACAAGGCTCCCTGTCTGTCTCTGCTATACGACTCCCTCGGCCCACATGGGGAGCATCTCCTTCGCCTTCTCCTGCTCCCTTCCACCTTAATCCGCCTCCTCCTTCTCCTCCTCCTCCTCCTCCTCCTCCTCCTCCTCCTCCTCCTATTCGTCGTCGTCGTCTTCAGGGTCGGCGGCACCGGCCGTAAGGCCTTACCAATAGCGAACAACCTCGCGTCGTGATTTTCGCACCACGCGAGGCGGTGTGGGTCCTGCTCCTCCTCCTGCTCCTCCTGCTCCCGATGCCCCCGTGTCCGGTGCCCGGGCATGCCTCTTGGCGCTGCCGTCCTCCTGCTCCTGCTGCTGCTCCTCCCTCGAAGCCCCGATCCTTAGGTCGGGCGTGTCCTCCTACAGGCGGATGCGGGACGAAAAATAAAAAATAGTCCAAACATACCCCCAAATGGGCAGCACAGAAGCAGCACAGAATCAAATGGGCAGCACAGAATCAATGGGCAGCACAGAGTCCTCCTGTAGGGGGACAGGCCCGACTTAACCCGGTCCTCGAGCCTCCATGCTCGAGCTTCTCGCATCTCGCTGCTGGCACCCTCGACCCCCTCGAACCTCCTCGAGGCCCTGGACTGCTCGAGGCCCGCTCCTCGACTGCGATCGTCCGGCCTGGACTCCTCGAACATCCTCGACTCCTCCCATCCTCGAGCCCTCGAGCCCCGATCCTCGGATCCTCGAGCGCTCGGATCCTCGGTGGTCCAGCCTCGACCCTTCTCGGATCCTCGGACCAAGGAGTCCTCCAATCATCGAGACCTCGAGCCCCGCTCCTAGATCCGCGGACCCCGTGGATCCTCGACCGTCCAGCCTCGACTCCGCGACCCTGAGCTCCTCGAATCCTCGAACCCCGAGCCCCTGTTCCCGATCCCCGAACGATTGGATCCTCGATCGTCTAGCCTCGACTCCGCGAATCCTCGACTCCTTGGACGCCCTCACAATCCTCGACCCCTCGAACCCCGATCCTCGAATGCTCAGATCCTCGAACGCTCGGATTCTCGATCATCTAGCTTCGATTCCTCGAATCCTCGACTCCTCCAATCTTCGCGCCCTCGAGTCCCGATCATCGAATGCTCGGATCCTCTCATCCTCGAAAACCTGGATCGTCCAGCCTCGACTCCTCATCGGATCCCCGACTGCTCGAATCCTCGACTCCTCGAGCCCTCGAAACTCGATCCTCGACTGTTCGGGCCTCCATCCTCTGGCCTCAGCCCCTCGAAACACCGCCCCCTAACGAGTCCTCGAGCCCTCGAGTCCCGATCCTCGGACCTCCCCGACGGCGAATCAGGATCTGGACGCTCCCCGGCCGTCTGGCCTCGGCTCCTCGAACCCGGAGGAGGAGGAGGAGGAGGAGGAGGAGGAGGAGGAGGAGGAGGAGGAGGAGGAGGAGGAGGAGGAGAGAAGTGAGGGGAGGAGGAGGAGGAGAGGAGGAGGAGGAGGAGGAGGAGGAGGAGGAGGAGGAGGAGGAGGAGGAGGAGGAGGAGGTGGAGGAGGAGGAGGAGGAGGAGGAGGAGGAGGAGGAGGAGGAGGAGGAGAGGGAGGAGGAGAGGACTCCCCGAGCCCTCGAGCCCGCAAAACCCGCCCGGCACCCCGGCGTTGGCTTCTGCTCCGCAGCGTCGACCCCCGAGAGCACTGCCGAACACCTCACGTCTGCACCAGCAACCGTGCGGTGTGTCAGCGAAGCAGCAGCGTGGCATCCAGTTGTCATTGCTTTCGTGTCTCTCCCTCCCCCTTCCCTCCCTCTTCTTCCTCCTCCTCCTCCTCCTCATCCTCCTCCCCCTCCTCCTCCTCCTCCTCCTCCTCCTCCTCCTCCTCCTCCTCTCCCCCTCCTCCTCTTCCCCCTGCAGCGCAAGAGGTACATTAGAGAGCAGGCGTGCCGCCTCCCCCGCAGAGCGGCGAAAAGAGGCTGGCCATTCTCACCTTCGCCCACGCGCTCCGAAGCGTATGGCTGGAGGAGGAGGAGGAGGAGGAGGAGGAGGAGGAGGAGGAGGAGGAAAGGGAGAAGTGAGGGGAGGAGGAGGAGGAGGAGGAGGAGGAGGAGGAGGAGGAGGAGGAGGAGGAGGTCTGGACCGATCCTCTCCCCGAGGTGCACCTCGACCAGAAGCTCGAGGCGACGGCCAGCCGCCCCGGCGCAGCGCGAGACACCGAGAGGGCGCACCCGCCCACGGAGCTCCCGAGGTGCTCCGTGGACGGGGCTCCCTCGCTGCCAGGAGGCTTGTGGCAGCGAGAGGGGGAGGAGAAGGAGGGGGAGGGGGAGGAGGGAGGGGGAGGGGGGAGAGGAGGAGGGGGGAGAGGAGAAGGAGGAGGAGGAGGAGGAGGAGGAGGAGGAGGAGGTGGAGGTGGAGGAGGAGGAGGAGGAGGAGGAGGAGGAGCAGGAGGAAGAGGAGGAGGAGGAGAAGGAGAAGGAGGAGGAGGAGGAGAAGGAGAAGGAGGGGGAGGGGGGGGGAGGGGGAACTGCAACCAATTCATCCGGCGCGCCCAGGCGCGCCCCCCGCGAGGCGCAGCCGCGGTGCCTTGCGCCACGCGGCCGCCGCGCCGCCCGCCCGAGGGCGCATCTGCACAACATGCAGGGGGGCATGCGCGGAAGCCAAGCAGGTGCAGAGTACAGAGCCTCGGGGCACGCACGCCAGGCCCTTCGTTTGTCCCGCCGCACTGCAAGGGTGAGCTGCACCACTCGGACAGACACAGAGACAGAAAAAGAGAGAGAGAGAGAGAGCAAGCAAGAGGAGGAGGAAGAAGAGGACGAGGAGGAGGAAGAGGAGGAGGAGAGGGAGGAGGAGGAGGAGGAGGAGAAGGAGGAGGAGGAGGAAGAGGAGGAAGAAGAGAAGAGACAAAGAGACAGAGAGACAGGAATAACAAGCTCTAAAACAAAGCAACGCATCACACATAGAACATAGGAGCAAGACGCGAAAAGCGAGCGAAGGGCAGCGGCAGCGGCACACCGATCCTCGCATCCTCGAGCCTCCTGGAGCCTCCAGCCTCCTCGGTGACCCTCAATGTCCTCGAGTCCCCCATCGACCCCTCGATGTCCTCGATCCTCGAGCATCCTTGAAGTCCTCGATGTCCGCGATCCTCGGTACCCTCGTTGTCCTCGAGCCCCC